GAAAAATTCGATTTTCTCTACGGCAACCCTAAATCTGATTAGTTGTTAGTTTTCTCATCTTCTTCCCCACCCTCTTTTCTTATTTTTTTGATTTATTTTATTTATTTTTACTTATTCTGAAAATTCTTGGCGGCAACCCTAAATCTGATAACGTGTTAGCCTTTCTTGCTTTCGGCACACGTTTTGACCCCGTGGGGGTAAAGAAGTGCTGCCGAAATTTTCTGATTTTTTCTTACTTAGTCTTTTCAGCACACTTCGATCCCATGGGGGTAACGAAATGCTGCCAAAATTTTTGAAAAAATCAGATAACCCATTTATCCCCACCTCCTCACACACTTATTTACTTATTTATTTATTTATTATTTATTATTTATTTTCTAAAATTTATTATTTATTTATTTATTTGCGGCATCTCTAGTGTGCATACCTCGGTCTCTCCTTTTCCCTTGGCACATTCTTGACCCCGTGGGGGGTAGGGAAATGCTGTCGAAAATTTTAAAAAAATAAATATTGTTTTTCTTCACATCTTTTTATTTATTTTTTTAATTATTTTAATTATTTATTATTTATTTATTTTCTTACTTATTTTTATTTCCTCTCGAAATCTCGCTGTTTATTTATTTTTCTCCCGTCTCCCCCCCCCCCCTATGCTTGCTATTTTATTTTCTTGATTAGGTCACCGGTACCCTACCCTAGCCTTAAACCTCAGTTAGGGTTTTCTTAGGTTTTTTGTAGGGTTTAGGGTTCCTCAAAACCCCCCTACCTTCCCGTCCTCTTCGGGCACCCTGGACCCGAACCACCCCTCCCCCTTTGACGGCGCCCGTGCTAGCCTTGCTAGCGCCGTTCGCCGCTTTCTACAGTGGACTTCCCCCTACGCCCTCCGCTCACGCGGAGCTCTTCTGGCCCCTTCCAGTCCGGTCCGTCATCTCCCCACGGCCGACGGTGCGTCACACGCCGTCGACACGACGATGACCACGGCATCGGGCTCCACACCCGTGCCGGCGGACAAGGGCCATCAGCCCCAGGGGGATCTTCACACCCTCCTCACCTCCCTCCTTGCGCCCATCCAGGCGCAACTCGCGACCCTCGCGCCCATCCAGGCGCAACTCGCGACCCTCGGGCCCTTACAGGCGCAGGTGGCGACCCTTGCCGCCGGCGTGCAGCAACTCCAAGACGCTAGTCGTCCTTCCTCTCCTCATCCTCTCTCTTCTCCTGGCTCTCAGTGTGGGTCCCCAGTTCTCCGACAGGGTGGCCACGGCGGAGTTTCCTCCTCTGCCGCCCCCGACCCGGCCATTTTGGTGACCGTCCACGCCCCTAGCTCGACGGCCGCCATGAGTCAGGCCCTTCTTCAGTCTACGGGCGCACCGCCCAGATTCCGGTTACGACGGTCACGGGACCATAATCCGTTACCATGGTCTCAGCTTTTCCGGCTGCCCCGCTCCTCCACCCCCTTCGCACGACCGCAGCGCCACCTGGCTCTCCCCCCTCTGGGATGCCCCGCGCCGCTTGTGCATCCACTTCCTCCACTCTTCCCTCTGCTACCTCTCGCACGACCTACGTTCGAGGTCTCGAGGACGAGATTGCCCAGCTCGGGGCCAACCTCGCCCTCTTACGCCTTCAGCCACCCCCACCCTCACAGGTGGCCGCGCCTTCGGGCGCACCCCCTACCTCCTCTACCCTTCCTCCCATGTAGGCTCGCTTTCCGCGCCCTGCACCCTATACAACTCCTTCCTACCTTCTTCCTACTCCCGCGGTTGCTGCGACCTCTTCTACTGCAGCACCCTCGCAGCCTGCCGCTGTTGCCACCGCCGCTCCCCTATGCGGCCCGGGCGCACAATCAGCTGCGCCCCTTTCTGCAGGACCTGCGCCGACTTACTCAGCCGTGGCACAGGCCTCCGCTCCTCGATCCCCTCGCCGCCACTACGGTGGCGCACCACTCATCCGCTTGTCGGACATTGTCTTGTATGACGGTACAGACATACGCGTGTCTCGGTGGCTGCAGTCTGCCACCCGCACACTCCAGCTCATGGGCGCCACACCCGAGACGTGGGTGGGTCACCTCTCCACGCGCCTGCGTGGCGGTCCTTTCGAGGCCTGGGAGGATTTCTATGCCTACTCCCTTCGTGAGGGTCGGACTCCGACCTTCGTGGATTTCCAGGCGTTCCTCGAGGATCGCTTCGGAGCTCGATATGACGTGACTGACGCCTTCGAGCGTGTCGTCACTACACGCTGGTCCGACTCTGGTGGCGCTGCCGGCCTGGATTGCCACATCCAGGTCTTTCAGCACGCCCTCCTCGTTTGCGACGTGGCGTTCCTCCCCGAGGCTGCCCTTATCGATCGTTCTTTGGCCAGCCTTCTGCTCGAGTACCGCCGAGAGCTATGGCGGTACGAGTTCACATCGGCCCCACAGGCTTACGAGGCCGCCAAGGACCACCAGCGGATGCGAGCCCGTCTTCACCCCGCCTCCTCCTCCTCTCACGACACTTCCCAGCGCCGTTCCCCTTTTCGCGGTCGCCCCCGCCGTTCCACACAGCAGGGCCGCCACTTCTCGCGCCGCTTCAGCGCGCTGGAGTACGGTGAGCAGGACGCTGTTGCCCCACTGTCATCTGAGGGCGACCACAGCGACGACCTCGATCTCTGCGAGGCCGTCCACTATCACTTGGAGGACTATACCCTCCCTGCAGCTGAGCGCCTTTAGCTCGCGCTCTCTGACTTCTCTCGGGCACGCAGCCGCCCCGGTCATGCTGGCGCATTGCCCCCGAGGTCCCTCAGGAGGACCTCCCTTTGGGCTTTGTCCCCTCTCGTGGTGTCCTTTCCCCTGAGGAGCGTGCAGCTATTCTTGGCCGGCGTGGGTGTTTGCGCTGCCGCTTGGACGGTCATACCTCCTCGCGGTGCCCTTACACTACCGCCCTCGACCGCCACTACACTGACCTTTCTCGTCACCGTCGTGCTCAGTCCCCCCCCGGCGCCTCACGTCCCCGCGGCGCCTCCTAGCCACGGTGCAGTGTACACATGCGCCCTCCTCAGTAGTGGGTTTCCCGACATCTCCGTCGCGGTTTGTCCCTCTCGCTACTGGAGTTGAGGTATCGCAGGACTCGACAAAGTGTGCTCAGCCCTCTGTCGCAGTACCGTTTGCGCCTCCGCAGAACACCGTCTCCCCTCCTTCCTCGCCGCGACTACCGACGCGTCGAGCCATTCGCTCAGCCCGTTGCAGCGAGCAGCTTGCTACTCGCGAGGACGTTGTATCCTCTCTTCTGGACTTGAGCATGCTCCAGGGCCGTCAGGAGCGACTCACCCTCCATGTCGCTGCACTGCGTCGCCTTCTTGCCATCCTCTCTGACCCTGATCGCACCCTGTCGATCATCCCCGTACGACTCGGGACCTCCACGAGGGTGTACTCAGCACTGTGGGATTCCGGTTCTCAGGGCGACTTCATTCACCCACGCGTGGTGAAGGAAGCCCGCTTACCCACGACAGAATCTCCGGCTCCCATCTCCGTTACCATAGGGGATGACAAGACCCAACGCTTCTTCGATCAGACGGTCACCGACCTCCCCTTCTTCCTCACTCTCGAGCCGACTGATCGTTCCCCGGCGTCTCGTCGTCACCGCTCCTCTGCACATTTCGATGTGATGGAAACGGGGTACGACTTCATTCTCGGCATTCCGTGGTCTCGTCGGTTCTCTAGCACCGAGGCCGATTGGGCGACCAACACTCTCGTTCTCAAAACAAAGTGTGGAAAGTCGTATCGCGTACCTTTCATAGGTACCACGGCGACACCACGCCCCGATCCTCCTCCCCCGGAGTCTTCAGTGCCCACACCATCTCCCTCTATCACTGTCACCTCGCCTCGGCAGTTCGCTCACTTCATTCGACAGGACGACGTCACCTTCTGTATGGTGGACGTGACGGATCTCTTACACTATGATCCACCCTGTCCCGACGCCGAGCTCATCCCTCTAGAGCCAGATCCTCCCTCTATCTCCATGGCTCCCATCTCTACTTCCGTCCCTCCGCCGTCCGTCGAGTCCAGCCCGCCGTCGGGCGCTGACGCTGACGCTGAGGAACTCGCACGATATACGGCTGACCTGGAGCCCGCAATTCGTGACCTCATCCGAGAGTACCACGACGTTTTCCCATCGTCGTTCTCGTACGCCGGCCTCCCACCGATGCGTGACGTCGAGCACTCCATTCAGCTTGTGCCTGACTATCGTGTTCACCACCAGACACCCTACAGACTCTCGATTCCTGAGGCCACCGAACTCAAGCGTCAGCTTGAGGAGCTCCTGAGATTGGGTTTCATTAAACCCAGCAACTCCCCGTGGGGTGCACCCGTCCTCTTTGCTCGCAAAGCGGATGGAACTCTCCGTCTCTGCATCGACTATCGCGATCTCAACCGCTACACGGTTAAGAACAGCTACCCCATGCCTCGTTTCGATGAGCTGTTCGACCGCCTAGCAGGCAACCGCTTCTTTACGAAGATTGATCTTCGTAGCGGTTACCATCAGATCCACGTCGCTGCAGCCGACCAGCCGCAGACAGCGTTCCGATCGAGCTTCGGCCACTACGAGTTTACGGTGATGCCATTCGGCCTCACCAATGCACCCGCCACCTTCCAGAGGGCGATGAACGACATCTTCAGGGACATCCTGGAGCAGTATATTCTCGTCTACCTCGACGATATCTTGGTCTACAGTCGTACCCTTAAGGAGCACCTCAGACACCTCCGCGACGTCCTTGAGCGCTTGCGCAGACATGGCTTCTACGCAAGCTGAGCAAGTGCCGCTTTGCCCAGCACAAAGTGAATTTCTTAGGACACTACGTGTCTGACCAGGGTCTCCATATGGACGACGCGAAGATCACTGCTATTGCGGAGTGGCCCGCCCCCACATCCGCCAAGCAGCTTCGCAGCTTCCTAGGCATGACCAACTACTATAGTAACTTCATCCGGGGATACGCTAGGTATTCCTACGTCCTTACCTCTCCGGAAGAACCCACCCTGGGCTTGGACACCCCTCTCCTCGAAGACGCCTTCCGCGCCCTCAAGAAGGCGGTGACATGCGCACCGGTTCTTCACCTACCCGATTTTGATCGCCCTTTTATCCTTACCACCGATGCGTCAGACTTTGCTGTAGGAACAGTGCTTTCTCAGGTCTTCCCCTCCTCTCCTGATTCCTCTCATCCTCGTATCCCTCACTTCCCACCACCTACCCCTACCACTGCTTCCCGACTGACGCCTACTCGTCCAGTTACTGACGAGCCTTCTATTGACTATTCTCCTACTATCGCCGAGGACGGCACTGTCGAGACTCGTGCAGGTGATTGTCCGATAGCCTTCTACTCCCGTCAGCTCCTGCCCGCCGAGATAAACTACACTGCTGATGAACGTGAGGTTCTCGCAGTAGTTTA